CTCTTGCCAGCCAAAAACTTTGGCCGTTTAGAAAAGTGTCAAGCATTTTATCACACGAAGCAAACTCCACAACAACAACACAGCAGCGAGAGATGAAGCACAAGCAGGCCATAATAAATCTCGAGGCGAGAGAGCAAACGAGAGAGTGCGAGTGAGAGAGAGAGAACGACTGAGCGAGCCCGTGCAACGAGCTGTTGCCGTAATGCATTGCAGCTAAGCGTGCGCCTAAAAGTATGCAACGTGTAACAGTAAACAGCGAGTCAAGGGACTAGCTAACTGACTGACTAACTGACTGACTGACTGACTGAATGACGGACTGACTGACTGACTGAGTGAGTGGCCAACTGACAGTTGGCCATTTGCTAAGTTTGTCTGCACAAACCGAAAAACTTGTCAACATGTTGAGTGCAGCAGTTGGCTGGCGCCTCCGGGAGAAGCCGCCGCAGTTACCCGCACAAGCTTTGTGGCATGCGAAAAAAAATATATGAAAAAAAAAGCATGCTCGACTGGGAGATACCCTGTAAGACGCCTATTAGTGCTGTCAGTCAAAACTCTGCGGAAAAAACAAAAACTAATAAAATTCATTATAACATTATTCTGCATCGAAAATCAAATCGTGATATGTTATGATAGCAATTGAAGTCCGGCTTTGCCAAAATTTGTACATTGTTGGAATTTGCTGACCCTTTTCCTCCATTTTCTATAAGATATATTATATGTCTGGCTTTAGCTCTTAAGAATAAAGTAAGAATATCAGAGTTTGACTTCTTGAAGTACTTAAATGTTCGTCAAAGCATTATAATTAAATTGACTTAAGTTTACAACTTTTTAGTAATAAATATAGAAGAGAGAATCTGGAATAGCGAAACGGAAGCATGCACAAAGTGTAAATCTGTTGAGCCCTTTGCTCAACCAGTGCACGGGGTTACAGGGTATAAAAACAACATGAATAACTAAAAAAGCGAAAAGAAACAAAAAAGAACTGTCATCAAAAATGAGCACGTGTTTGTTATTCGTGCGCTGGTTGCCCTTTTTCTCTTGTTTTTGTTGGCCAGTGTTTAGTTTGTACAGGTGCATTCCTGCGGGAGGCAGCTTAACCATTGTGCTGGCCCGCATCGTGAGTGGATTTTGCGGATTTTCAGCATATAAAACAAACAGCAAAGACAACAACTTATTCGGGCACTTGATAATTGCATTTGAGATTAGCAAACAAATACATATAAAGATCCGAAAAAAAAAAAAAAACAAGTATATACAGATTACATTTTTATGCAAATATTTAATACGTGGCCACAAAAAGGATGTATTCATAAAATAACTCAATTTTCAGACGATTATTCCCAAAGTAACTATAATATATAGTATTCGCATTTTGGGTCTTATCTTAGGATTTAGAAAAAGGTTTATTTAAGTATTCAATTCGTATACAAAACATTTGAAATTTTCCTAGCTAAAGTAATTTATTTGGAATGCCTCAAGCTTTAGGCCTTGCCTTGACAGCTGACGAGCTAAAACTATAAATCTTTGACAAAATCTCTGGCCAAGACAATGCCTGTCGGAGTTGCTAATAAAATAAGTTAACGTTAGGTCTGGTGACGAATTTTCATTGAATTTTTAATTACCACTGAGATGAATTGACAAGCGGTTGGCAGGTGTTTCATGTTGCCCACCTGCGGCTTTAATTAATTAAGAGTGAAGCTACAAATTTCAGCGAGAGAAAGACAGAGGGAGAGACTGTGTGTGTGTGTGTGTGTGTGTGTGCGTGGGGTTAAAAGTTTTCCCTTTTCGGGTTATTTTAAAACGAGCCGAGCCGAAAAACATCTGCAAGACATTAAAGTGTCTGTTGGGTGTGAGTTGTAATTTTATAGCGTTGTAAATTTGTGGGCAGCTGCAACATTTTCTGTTTACTCTCAACGACTGAAAATACCCTTTGGCAAACAGGAGCAGCATCTACTAGTTTAGCGTAGACAAATGTGTGCATTTAACTATTAGTTGTAGTTGCAATTAACTTAGGTTCATTTAGTAAAAGTTAAATAAAAATAAATATTGGAGTGTGTCTTTTTTTAAGGAGTATTTGATGGTCTGGCATACCCAAAGCTCTTAGATTCGAAAAACTCTTAAACTTTCTTAACTATGAGTGGAAGAAAAAGGAAAACAAGCATAAAAAATGCTTGCTTTATGTTTTAAGGATAATCTTATAAGCAAATAGGAAATTCTGTATACTGACTTTGTTGACTTTTGAGTTTGTATATATTTTATTTAATATACAAATTTAATTTGGTGAAATAGCCTTAATCAAGGAGTATCTGCGGGTCGGGCATGCCCTGGAGCTGAATAATTTTTAGTTATTATGGCGTGTCGAGACAAAGAGCAAATTACGCCGCTTATCTGCACAATTTACGTGCTCGGGCACAAAGGACACCGCCAGGCAGGTCCTTTTTGTCTGCAGCGCTGCATTTTAGAGTCTTTGTGCGCGGCGAGCGCAGAATTTGTGAATTTCACGTCGAGCGGCAAAATTTCGCCAAAATCAAATGCAGCGCGTGCCTCAAATTCAAAAGGATTCAAAGCGTAAGCTTTAAAACAAAAGAACCAAAAACGCAAAAGCGCACAAACGCCTTGAAGCCAGGGCGACAAGGATGCGAACGCAACGCAGTTTCCATTACAAAGGACGCAGGACGCATCGCTGCGGCCATTAGAAAAGCGCAGCTTGTTGCCCAAAAATTTCATGCAGAATACAAGTTTTTGTCCTTTATTATACGCTGTTCTTCATTTATTAAGGGGTACATTCGTTTTGTGTAGAACTATATGCAGCGTAAAAGTTGTTCTCCTTAACTGTACTAAGCTTTTTTTAAAGGGTGTATTCGGTGCGTTAAAATTTTTATACAGAATCCAGGTTTTCCCCCTTATTATACTCTGTTTTTTATTTTGTAAGGGGAATATTGGTTTGTGCACTTTTTATACAGAGTCAAATTTGTTCTCCCTTATTATACTCAGTTTTCTTTACTAAAGGATATATTTGTTTTCATTTTCATACAGAATAAAAGTCTTTCTCCCTTATTTTAATCTGTTTCTTCGAAGGGTATATTGGTTTTTATAATATATATATACTACTTTCTTTAAATCAGAGCATATAAGTGAAAAAAATAAGATTTCCCATCCTCGCGAATACAGATATTCTTTGTAGATTTTCAACATAGATCTACATTCTATAAAAATTCACAGTTTTAAAGTGATCACAAATCAAACAAACGCACTTTCATCTGATTAAGTTGGTTTTTAACTGTGAACAGAGTATTGCGTAGTTGTATGCACCCGACTACAACGAACCTACTTGATTTTTTCTATTCTTGTGGGATTCTACGCGAAGTCAAGCATAGAAATTACGACTTGTTGTAGAAGAGTGGGAGTGTGTGTGTGTTTGTGCATGTGTGTGTGTGTGTGTATGGTGCGCCCAAAAACATGCTACAAAATTGTAAAGAGCCGGCCGGAACGAGTTGCCAACTGCTGCCAGTGCCAACAGCTCCAAAGGAGCCTGTTCTGGTTGCAGAGTGGAGTACAAGTATGTAGGAGAGGGTGGAGGCTGTGGGGACAGCGAAGGGCCAAAGGCATGACTAGCATTTTTGTGACTTTCATGTACCATAAATTATTTTATGTTATTATTATACAATACACACAACATGTAACGGGTTGTGAGAGAAAGAGGGAGAGAGGGCGAAGGGAAAGTAGAGCGGGACGACAAGCAACAAGCAAAATGGTAAATTTTACTTTTATTGCGATTACGTTGACATCTTGTGTGTGTTTGTCCCTAACGCTTATTTCGCGGCAAGGCGGAAGATTGGATGAAAATAAACCTAAGTAAATGCTAAAAGACAATAAGTCGCATAAACCGAGCCGCAGTTAAAGCCGAGACATCAATTTAATGGGCATAATTTTTGTGAGATCGATTGGGCCATAATATTACCAGAATTTGCGACAAGTAGGAAAAATACTCGTAGGCTAGTTAAACAGAATTTTAATCAAATGGTGTACTTCCGATAATTAAGAGGATATTCAAGATATTACACTAAATATTATGAATGATTATATCATTAGTATAAAAGTTTCTAGTTGCAAGTACATTACATTTATTCAGCTAAATACTATTAAACAAGGCAGCGAGTCGACTTTGAACCAAGCACTGGATCAAACCCCCTAATCCAAACAAGTGTCCGTAACAGTCGAGCTTTAAACAGAATTAAATTCAAAAATGGTCTGAATCGAAATAAATGATTTTAAGGGAGAACAAGGACCAACGCTTAAATAATTCACAACATTTTTTTAACCATACTAAATGCCAATGTTAACTTTTTTTTTAATAGTGTGATTCAATATATTTTTGTGTTGAGCTTGCAAATGCTTTCTTGTTTTTAAGCTAAAAACTCCAAAAGCAGCTTCAATTAGTTAGCAATGGAGCTGAGGAGTTGCCATTTCAAGACCAGTAAATAAGATGTGTAAAGTATATTCAAGTCTCACGATTCGTTTGCTGTCATTTTTTTCTTTAAATTCCAAGCGAATTTTTTGTGTTAATGGAGAGTTTAGACTAGCAAGTGGAGCCTTTATCGCTTCGCCGAGCGAGCGAGTGTCTGGGCTGAGGCAATGGAAATGAGGTGGAACAAAGTGCAGCAGGCGCAGCTCAAAAGCTCAAAAACAAAGCGAAATGAAATCATAAATGCCCGGACACGTGCCATGGCAGGACGCAGAGCAGCAACAACGTGCTCCGCTTGCAAGTTGCAAGCTGTGAGTTGCCGTTTGCGAGTTGCCAGTTGCCACATTTCGGAGCTGTGGCAACGAGGTGTTAAAGTTTTTGGCAAACTCCTGAATACGAGTTAGTTAAATATTTAAATTTATTTATTGGCGCCGCCTGGCAGCCCCGCTGCACTCCTTGCAGCACCGTTGCAATCCGCTGGACGCCCATTTAAAATAATCAGGAAAACAACAAACAAAGCAGCGTGCAAACTTACCGTGTGCCTCTTTGCCGAGTCCAGAGGCAGCGCCCATGCCCATGGCAGTGCCGTGTCCAGAAGAACCACCGCCGCCGCCAGCTCCTCCGGCCATGGAATGCTGGTGCGCTAATGTGACCGGCATTACGAGCGCCAGAGCCATAAAAATTTTCCACATTGTTAACGTGGCCATTTGACTTTTATTGCACTTCATTTTCATGCGCTGCTCCTATTTTACTTTTTCGTTTTTGTAATTTCTTTTGGCCAAAAGCTGCAGTTGGCTTCCTTCTAATATTTTTTTCTGTTTTTCTTTTTTCTTGCTTGGTTTTTCTGTGCGCCGCTTGTTGATTTTAATTTGATGTGACTTAAGTTGGATTTGGTTTGCAGATTTCGCCAGTCGCAGCTGCAGTTTTGGCCCGTCTGGCTGCCAGTTTATGCTTCACTTCTCACTCCCCTCTGCTCCACCTGCTGCGGCTACAGCTTCTGTCTAGTGGTAGCACATTTCGATGGCGCCGCGCCGGCAGCAGCTATAAGAGAATCGTAGAAAGAAAGGAAAAAAAATGCCATCAGTTGAGTACGTTGAAAAGTTTATTTTAGAATGTTGGCTGGGCGGGAGGGAGGCTTTCTTTGGGCGGTAGCTAGTTAAAAAGTTGTGAAAGTTTTCGTTAAAGTCAAATTGAAGCCGCAATTATCGAGTTGTAAGGCGCAGATACGCACACTCACACCCACTCACACATACACACACACAGGCGTGCTCTAACCCAGGCGAAGTTAGAGCTAAGCCACATTGGAATGAACAATTTTTGAAGCAACTGTTCAGTTTGTCAACTTGTTGAAAAAGTTTTTACATTCCTATTCCTTAAGGCCAACAACTTCTCAAGTTGTTTAAAATATATGTCAAAAGCATAAGATATATATTTAATTTATGCTTATTCAAGAAAATAAAAGTAAATTATTCCTAGCTCAAGAGTCCACGATTGACCGAGGTAATAATAATACGTGAGAGAAACTCGCCAAAGAGACGATGGCGGCAAACGGGGCGGTCCTTCTTTCCCAAATAGGGTCTACCACAAATAGTAGCATATTCTAAATGCCAAATATTAATAATAATAAATTAATTTTAAATACTTTTAAATCTCTTCCAATTTTCTAGAATATTAAGATTGTGTTTTTCCGGCTTTTCTGCAGCTAATAACATAATTTTGTGAAAATAAAACAAAAATAATAATTATTTATAAGAAGTAAATATAGTACAATAAGGATATAATTTAAATATATAATATAATATATATAAAAAAAAGTGATACAATATACAATATATGTACATATATAATAATATATAATAAAATATTTATAATATTAATATTAATATTAATTAAGTATTTAATTAATTTTATTCAACTTTAGAAAACCGAATCTGAGCATTACCAGCAAATAATTCATAAGTCATTCTGTTCTCAACTGTCCACAAATTGTCAGACCCAATGAATAAAAAGATACCCATGTCAAAACTGGCAGCATTTAGTCATATATCTTGCTCCTCGAATATCAAGTATACACACGCAGAAATGTATTGAAATTTTATTAATATAAGTTACACTGAATTCAGTTTTCCTTTCAATAATCAGCGCAATAAGAGTTCCTTTCTTTGGTTTTCATATCCAACACACAACACAACTCAATGATATTCGCATATGGTACGAGTTTGAGTACACTCAAAACACTCACAGAGGCTCTTTGTATGGCATCCAAATACCATTCGCAATCGCATTTCCATTCCCAAGTAGCTGCCGCAGATAAAGCCACGACGCGGCAACAAACAAAAATTTACAATTTCCGGCAAGTCCCTTAACGCCCCCCTCCCAAGCTCACCTGCAAGCCCCCCCTCAGACGTAGTAGATTGCCAGCGTTCGATAAAAATGTTGCCGTGGGGCGCCAGACAAAATTCAAAGGGGCTGCTGCACACACCGAAAAATGTAGAAGAAAAGAAAATAACTAACATAAAAATTAAGGTACAAAATTTTGACAGACGACAAAAAAAAAATTGTAAAAAAGGCAAAAGCCACTCATATATCTTTACGTGTTAAGAAACAAATTCTATAAAAATGCTCAGATGCAAATAATAATGATGATTTGCAAATACAAAATGAAGCTGACAACAAACTTGGCAACAACAAAAAGAAGGGATACGGAAGGCGGAGTTGAAAAGGTAAAAGAAATGCTGACAAGCGAAAGGTAGCGCTAATAAATAGACACAAAGGCTGATGCCATGAGAAGGTTGCAACAGATACAACACGCCAAAGGGCCAAAAGGTTCACAGTCTAGGCAATGATATAATATTGTGAATGGGTTGCTTCTGGGTTGGCTGAGAGAGAAGGCTGCCAACGAAATAAGAAAAGTCGCCGGTAAATCAATAGAAACGCAACCTGGGCAATTTTTTGAGTTTACCTGTCCCTTTTTTCCTGAATACTCTACCAGCATTAGGGTATTACGTATGTGTCGTGTGCTCGCATTATATTTCTACCTCAAATAGGAATTGAATATTATTTTTGTTAATTTCTTAAGAACTCTAGGAAAATCTTAAGATGTTCTTATTGCGCAAAGGGAGTTTTTAATTGGAGAAGTAAATACAATAAAATCAAGAAATATTTTTAAATTTAATAAATGTTTCTAGGTACATTTAAAAAAAAAATTGCGAAAAATATCTGTGAAATTTTTCCAGACTTTTAAAGGGTATAAAAATAATATACATGCACAACATATCTCTACAATTTCTAAATTTCAAAAAGAGCAATGATAATTCGTATTTGGGACGTGTCTGTTAGTTTCCAATTTTGTTGCTGTTGCCACTTCTGTTTCTATTGTCATTTTGTCAACGTGCCCGCCGAGTGTCGTCACTGGAATAGAATAGCACAAGGGCTGCGGGGTGGGACGGTATATGGCGAATAGATGCGGGCATGGTTATAGGGGGAGGCGTTAATAATGATAAGACATTGCAATAAGCGACCAAATGGCCGACAGATAAGCGCAAGGCACAAGGCACAACAATGGGAAAGGTGCCAATGTGAGAGTGAAATAATAATGCCCCAGATGATAATAATGATGATGATAAAAAGCATTGTTAATAATGATGTTGCCGCTGCTGCCGATGCTGCTGATGCTGCTGCTCCTGCTGATGATGATGATAAAACTAATGGGCCGACGGCAATTAGGTATGAGAAATTTGTGTTTAGGTTTTTTTTTTTCAAATATCGCACAATATGAGAATAAAAACTGAATGGACAGCTTCAACTACACTTGAGCAATTTGCGCACAGTCGAGTGCGCACATTAACCCAGAGAACAAACACAAAAACACACACACTCACAGAGACAGAGCACAAAACAAACACAACAACAACAACAAAGGGCCAGGCAAAATCAACATGGCGTACAGGTGCCGGAAACGGAAACGTCGGCCGGCCAAGCGGGCGGACAGGCGAACGGACTGCGGACCAAACGACCCACCGACCGATAGACAAACATTCAAACAGCAACAGGAAAGGCGACCACAACCAAAGCAATGCAAAACCCAAAATGCAGTCATTTTTATAGTCGAACTGTGTATGCCCTTCAATAAAAAGGGAAAGGGCGAAAAGTTAGAATATATCAAGAAAAACATTATATAGACCAAGGTGTTAAGTTTGATGACTGTACAAATAAAATAGGAAAACAGGCTTATGCACCATTTTGTAATTTTTAAGGTTCATTCATATTAATAATTTATAATATATAATGATTATTAATTATATATAATAATAATAATTACGAATCTATTATAATTATATAGTATATAGCTAAAAAAAAATATTCTAGCAACTGTTGAACGTAATTTTTTGTATTAATTAATGCATTCTAAGCTGTAGGAAATATTGGAATATACCCTATAAAAATAGTCCATAGAGAAAATAATGAATAACAGCAAACAACGAAATCTGTTTTTCTATTTCAGTTTAAAGATTTGGAGTTTTTTTTATATTTTTTAGTTGATCCCTAAAATAAATTTTTTTAATGACCGAGATTCTAAGATTTAAAAAAAAAGTCTGCAATTAAAACTGCAAGCGAATATTGCAAGATATATTTTCCATTTAAAACTTAGGCAACAAAAAATAAGGTGGCGTTTTTTTTTTCTTTTTGGCTAAAGCCAAGGCAACGAATGCAATTATCCTGTAATACTCTATGCTTTTGGCTCAAAAGGAATAGGACAAAATGGAAATGGGCAACATTTGATAGACACATTTTATTGCTGCATGAAGGCAGCCCCAGTCAGGCAGCAGGCAGGCAGGACGTCTAGGGTTTGCGGCAGACATGCACTCATATAGCCCATGCACATGTATATATATATATACATATACATATGTATGTGTGTGTGTGTGTGTGTGTGTGTTTGCCTAACCACTCTAGACAATGGCGCGTCAATAGCTGCCTCGGCATTTCCTGCTGCCCGGCCAAAACGTAGCCCAGCTGCAGCTCCAGCTTCACGTTGTAGTTTATTATTCCCGCTAGTCTCAAGCTTTTCTATTTGCTCTCTAACTAAATAAATTTTTATCATGTGCCAAGGCTTAGCTGTATGTGTGTGTGTGTGTGTGTGTGTGTGTGTGCTGTAATCCATCACGCCATATTCATGCATCCATGGGTAGCATCATTCGGAGCGTTATTCATTTATTCATTCACTTCATTCACTCGCTGCTGGCGCTGTTTCTTATGGTTTTTGTGGTTATTGAAGCGATCATTTGGAACATGCACAGCATTTTCATATTTGTTATTTTCGCTTTTCCTTGTTTAACTTCTTTCCTCGCATACCTCGCTTTCCGCTTTTCCTCTTTCCACTGCTTTTATTATAGTGCCCAAGCGTCGCCCTCTCCGGCTCTCCCTCTCTGCTGCTTCATTATTAATGGCCAAAACGTTTAATATGCGAATTTAAGAAAATTACTTTCATAACACGACATTAATGGCGACATATAAATGGCATTACCCACACCCCCACCCCCACCCCCAACTCCCAACCCACCCTGGTCCGCACTCCATTTCTCCATCCCTCTATCTCTGCCGTCTCCATAACTTGCCGCTGATTTCGGCTCTTGTAGCGCATATATCTGATTTTTAGTGTCGATGAGATTTATCGTCATTGTGGACACACTGCGGAATCTGGACGCGTGGACCGATTCGTGGCTTGACTTATGGCCAGGCGCTTAAGCCGCCGCACTTTTTATATGTACTATATGCAGCTGCTGTTCCCGAAAATTTATGCCCCGCATCACGC